ATGAAACACAAAGAGACATTCCTCTGGTATTTTTTCTTTCCTGCCAGGATCCATCTGACATTTGCAATAATGTCTCTAGTGTCATGCATGACCTCTTCTAAACACAGCTTGTATTTCTGGTAGTTCTCTATCAATGTACTATTCTAGTCCTTTCTGGATAATCTTCAGCAGGATTTTGCATTATCTTTCCATATAGAATATACGTTCTGGTAATTTCTTTATGATCTTACTACCCAACAGTGCATCTTTAGACTCTGTTGTTGAGTTTTCACAGTTCTTTATATATTCTAGAGACAAATTCTGTTTAGAAATGTGTATTTACAAATGTTTTCTTCCTGTCTCTGGCTTCACTTCATTTTCTTAAGGATGGTTTTGATTAAGTAAAAATTCTTTTTAAATGCATCCTTAAAAGTTTCTTACTGTGTTCTCTAACCAATTTATTGTAACACTTTAGGTATGAGCCACAGTCCCTTTTTATGCATATAGATGTTCAGTTGCTGTGGCATAATTTTTCAAAAGATTTTTTTTCTCTTTAATTTTTCTTTTGCCTTTCTAAAAAAATCACTTGTTCATATTTCTGTAGGTAATTTTTTAATTGTTTTGTTCCCTTGTATGTCTTTCCTTTTGTATTACACTGTCTTGATTATTGTAGCTTTATAGAAAGTTCTAAAAAATCAAACTGTTTCCAGTTTCATTATTCTTGAAAATGATATGTATCTCAGCATTTTATATAAATTATATACATCTATTCTCCATTATTGACATGGTTACATTTGAAACACCAGGATGTTATATAAAAATTGGTGTTATGAAAATAGGAATGATCACGTCAGATCACAAAGTGGAATATAACTACCACTGCCAAATCACTGACGACATTTATGGCCCAGCCATGTTGACACATAATCTTATCCATCACAACCAGTGTTATTATTGTCTCAAACCTTGTCATTTGTTAGGATAAGATTTTTGTAGTTAATATTAAAAAATAGTGGCTTTTTTTCCACTATTGTCAATGAAAAATATCAGTAATGAAATTGTTGATAAATGAAGACTAGGTGTAATCGGCTTATTGATATGTAACCAAATATTCAGTAGAATTTTCTTTGAAATTGCATCAGATCTATGAATCTTAATCTTTGCGTCAACTTGGAAGGAAGTCACATCATAACAATACTGAGTTCTTCAGTCTGTGAATATGGTTTATCTTTCAATTTCTTGCAGTCAAGTTTGATTTCTTTTGATAAACGTTTTATTTATTTAAATTCTCATATATTATTGTTGTTTTGTGCCAGTGAGTTCTAATTTATTGTGACCTTGTTACAATAGAATGAAACACTACCCAGCCCTTTCTTCACCACCTGGCATCTTTACTGTCACTGCTGTGCTTGATCCCATAGTTGCACCAACTGTATCAACCTCTCTCATTGTCTTCCTCTTTTTTAGCACCTTTGTGCTTTACTAAGATGATGTTCTTCTCCAGGCACTGGCCCCTCCTGATAACATGCCTAAAGTAGGTGAGATGAACTCACTTTGGTGAGATGAAATCACTCTGTTCTCACTTCTAAGATGCATTCTGTCAGACTCATTTGCTCTTTTCATGGTCCCTGATATATTCTCTATTTTTTGCCAACACTCCAATTCAGAGCTATAAATTCTTCGGTTTTTTCCTATTCATTATCCAGCTTTCATATGCATATGAAGCAGTTGAAATGCCATGGCTTGGTTCAGGCACACCTTAGATAGACCTCAAAGTCATTTCTTGCTCTTTAGTTCTTTATATTGGACATTTAAAGAGGTTTACAAGTGGCACAAACGTTTTGTGCTTGACTGCTAATGCATAATGCATTTCATCTTCTAAACCAGAGATTTGTGGTTTAAATTTGTCAACCTATGAGAGAATGATGGGCAGTCTTCTCCCATAAAGATTACAGCCTTGGAAATCTGTTGAATGGTCACCATGAGTCAGAATTGAGATGACTTGATTTTTTTCTCTCCCTACTAACCTAAAAGTTATATTTCTCCTTCTCCTTTCCCAAACTAAATATGGATTGCATCTCATTATCAAGAAAGCAAAAATACTTGCAGCTGCACTGATAGACAACGTCCTGATAGGTAGAAAAAAAGATTGAAACAGTCAGCAATTTCTTCTTACTTGGGCCCACAATCAACACCATTGGTATTAACAGTCAGGAAATCAAGAGACCTATTGCATTGGGAAAGCCTGTCAGAGACCTCTCTAAATTACTGAGGAGGAGTGATGTCAGTTTGAAGACCAAAATGTGTCTGATTCTGGCCATGGTCTTTTTAGTCACTTGCTGTGCATCTGAGAAAACTGGATATTGAATAAGGATGTAAGAAGAAGAATTGATGCCTTTGAGTTGTGTTGGAAAAGAGTACTGAATATCCGATAGACTGCCAAAAGAACAATTAAGTCTTGGAGAAAGTTCAACCAGAATACTCCCTGGAGGCAAAGATGACAAAGCTTTGTCTCACATGCTTTCAGCACGTTGCTAGAAAAGGCTATTCTTTGGCAAGAGACACTATGCTTGGAAAAGTGGAGGATCTGTGAAAGAGAGGAAGACCCTCAATGAGATGAATTGACGCAGGGACTGTAAATATGTCAGAAATTATAAGTATGGCACAGGATAGGTCAGAGTTCAGGTCTGTTGTTCATAGGGTCACTATGAGTCATACTTGACTGGATAGTACCTAACAACAATAACAACAGGTAGGGCACTCTAGTCTAAGAGTTAAGGAGCTTTGCTGCCAAACCAAAGACAGATAGTTCTAATCCACCAGCTGGTCCATAGGAGAAAGATGGGCAGTTTCTTCTTGTGCAATTCACTGTCTCTGAAAACCTGCTGTGAGTTGGTTCCTGCTCAACATTGCTTAACAACAACAAGCTAAAAGTTAAGAGTAGCCTTGATGGTGGACTCTAGCAAGTTGGATGCTAACCCAAAGGCTACATGCCTTTGAAGGTTTAAATCCAGCAGCTTCTTCATGGGAGAGTTGGGCTATTTCCTCCTTTTACTTTTTATAGCCATGGAAACCTGATGGAGATTTCTGTGAATTGAAACCAACTCAGTGGCAGTGAGTTTTTTCTGAAGCTAAAAATTAGCAGTTCAAATTCATCCAGTGGAGTTGGGGGGGGGGCGGGGATTATCCAATAAGACCCTATAGAGCAGTTCTACACTGTAACACATAGTCTAAAAGACTAATGGACCTTATTTCCATGGTCTTGAAATCTGAAGAACTAGACAGGGTTCAGCTACCATTCCTGACAGCTTTGAAAGAGAGTGGAGGGAGAACAATATGGAACAAAACGTAATAAAAATGGTTAGATTTAATAACTCTTATAGCAACTAGTAGAACCCCTAGAATATGACCCTTGATCACTCTTTAAGCTTAGAACTGAAATCACCCCATGGTTAAAAAAATACTAATAATTCATCCTCCTCTTTTTAGCTGTGAGAATTTATATGACTTTCCTATGATCACATAGTCTTGGCAGAATTAGAATTGAGGCTCTTTGTTCCAGGAACTTCCAGAGCAGGGAAAATGGAGGGAAAGGAACAATTTAATTTTTTCTCTTGTGTAGTGTTTTAGGAAGATACCAAAGATACTTAAATTTATGTAGTGATGAATTGACTAACAAGAATTAAATTGGTATGGTTGATTCCACCATAAATGATACAGGTAACTGCTTAAAAATTATATCAAATCCATGAGGGGAAATCTTATAGAGAAATCTTCCTGCCACAACTCCGTTGTTCCTTCTTTTGAACTCTAAGGAGCTTTGGTGACATAATCTGTAGGGCAGCGCACTGCCAACCCAAATGTTGTTTCTGTCTTTCTGGAGGTTTAAATTCACCAGTGGTTTACCAGGAGAAAGATGGAATTTATAACCTCAGATTCTTGGAGGGTCAGCTGTGAGTTGATTCTAACTAAACAACAATGAGAGTGAAATCAATATCCGTCTTTTTCACACTAGATTTAGCCAAGTTTAAAGAATAGCTCACAGTTAATATAGTGCTTACTGTGCCTGAAAAGTGGCTTATGCTTATATTTATTAACCTGATTATCACAACAACAGATAATAGGGAGAGAGATTATTACTTATTTTATACTTAGATAGGAAAATGATTCTGTGCAAGATCACAGCCTGTAAGTCGTTGCTGAGATTCAAATCCAGGCAATGTTAAACCAAAATGTAGCCTCTGAAACCTCTCAATATGACAGCCATTTTAAAAATTGAATAATGTGATAGGCCACAGAAGAAAAGATGGATAGTCTCCTCCTGTGTGATTTATAGCCTCTGAAAACTAACTGGAGGGTCAGCTATGAGTTGTTTCCAATTTGATGGTAGTAAGAGAATTCACTAGTTATTTGAAATATCTATTTATCTACTGAAGCACAATAGATAAAGGCTATATTTTAATGTGAATCATATTTATGTTAAAGCAACTGTGTCTGAATGAAATACTTTCTCCTACTGTGTTCCTTCCCCTCCTTCTCTCCCCCCCCTAAGAAATAATGCTCTATATTCAAGCTAGAGTTGCTTGGTAAACTGTTATACAGTATTTAAAAAGAAAATAAATCAGTACTGAAGTCAGTCTTCTATGATTTTCTTCTATTTTGGGATCAGTAATAGATAGGTGTTGCCCTATTGATGTGATGGTTACATCTGTAGTTGGTGTATAGATTTGTTTAATATATATTAATCTGTTCTAACATTTTTGTCTACTTCATTGTATTAGAATTAAATTGTTTTATATGTATGGTAAGAATCTACTATTAAAATAAGCCACAGTGATTGTGATAATGAGCTAAATTTAGGAGCCACAGTACTTGGAGAACATACTACCTGAATTTTCAGTGAAATTCTGGTCCTGAGATGACTTTTAGGTACTGTTATAAATAAGTGATCATATGCTAATAAAAAGTTATTGCTTTTCCTAACCTTTTTGTTTTGTTTTTTGCTCTACAGTAGTTTATGCCAACGTGGCTTCATTCATACAGATGAACCAAGGATTGGGATAGCAGTATAAAATTAGAATCAGACAGCTGACTGCCCAGCAGGATGCCATCAACTAACAGAGCGGGCAGCCTGAAGGACCCTGAAATTGCAGAACTCTTTTTCAAAGAAGATCCAGAGAAACTCTTCACAGATCTCAGAGAAATTGGCCATGGAAGCTTTGGAGCAGTGTATTTTGTAAGTGTTAAAGATTTAATATTAGAGCAAACTAGCATTTACTTAATCTCAGGTTGGAGTGAAATGTAATATAAAGAAACGTAATTCATAGCCCAATTTATACTAAGGTGTGTAGGGTCTGTTTTATACTAAGATATACACATATAGTATGTGTGTAAGATACAAAGTTGAAAGCAGATAGATTTATTATTTATTATGCATTTATAATAATATTATGTATAATAATATTATTACTTATACTAATGATAATACCAGGAGCTCTGGTGTCCTAGTGGTAAGAAGTTGTGCTTCAGTCTCGAAGTCACATGGTTTGAATCTACCTGCTGCTCTGTAGGAGGACAGGCAGTCTCCTCTCATGCAATTTACTGCCCTGAAAACCCACTCTGAGTATTATATTATGCATTTCTAAAGCTTCTCAGAAATTTTAGCATATTGAGTTCAAGACCTGTTAATAGCATGCATTGCCACAAAATTAAGCATCGCAAAAAACAAATTTTTCTGTAAAATCTCATGCTGTGTAAATCTGTTTTAGTGTGGAAATCTAGAATGGTAATTTGACAGAAGGGTCTGTACCAAATTGTGCTTTCCTTTGAACTTTAGCCATAATTGTATTATGGAATTTTCAGAAAAAAGGGCCTTTTGTAAACTTCTAAGCATTTGTATTGAGGATATGTTCTATAATCTTTAACTTTGGAAACAGAAATATACAGAGGAATGCGGCCATTATTTGTAATTCTTTTTCTTTCCCACTGATATTTTATTTTTCGTTTTTAAGGCTTTCTAGTAACATACATTTATCTAGGGTGATCAGTAATCCCAGTTTTACTACAATTGCCCTAGTTTTGGCAGTGAAAGTTCCATGTCCTAGAAACTCTTCATTCTCAAGCAAACTGAGATGGGCGAGCACGCTATAAAATACAAACTCACTTTGTTATCAAATATTTTTAAAAAGAATATGAACTAGAGCGTAATAATAATAATTTTCTAACTGTAGGGAGCTCTGATGGCTTGTTGTTGTTTGCTTTCGAATCTGAACTGATCCATAGCTGATCCTTCAGCAGATTTTCAGAGGTAGTAAATCACGTGAGAGGAGATTGCCCGTCCTTTTCCTGTGGACCAGCTGGTAGATTCAAACCCTGTGCCTTTGGAATTGCCCTGAACTTAACCATTACGCCACCTGAGCTCTCTGTGGCTTGCTGTTAATTGTTATGTGCCATCAAGTCAGCTATGGCTCACAGCGACCCTATGTACAATAACTCTGAACTTTTCCCTATCCTGAGCCAACCTTACCATCTCCTACATATGATCCAGTTGCCACAGTCACTGTGCCAGTTCATCTCTTCCTGGGTCTTTCTTGCTCACTCTGACCCTCTATGCTTCCAAGCACAATGTCCTTTTCCAAGTACTAGTCCCTTTTGACAACGTGCCCGAAGTATGTGAGATAGTTTCAAAATCCTTAAGAAAAGGAGCATACTGATTTCCCTCTCTCCAGTACAAACTTGTTTGTTCTCCTGGCAGTCCATGGTATGTTCAATATTCTTCTCTTACCCTATTTCAAAGGCATTAGTTCTTTTCCTGTCATCTTTAGTCATTGTCCAGCTCTCAGATGCATAGCAAGCAGTTGGAAAACTATGGCGAAGATTAGGCATGCCTTAATATTTAGACTTACATCATTGCTCTTTAGCACACTAGAGAGGTCCTTGACTGTAGCTTTTTTTCCATTAATCAAAATAATTTTTTTATTTTGTGACTGCTGGTGCAGTAAGTGTTAGTTGTGGATCTGAGCAACTTCAATCTTTTCTCCATCTATCATGATGTTGCCTATTGGCTCAGTGGTATGCTGCCGTGGATGTGCTCACCAAGTTGTGCCAAGAAATCTGGAGAACAACCACTTGACCAACTGACTGGAAGAGGTCTATATTTGTTCCCGTCCCAAAGAAGGGCGACCCAACTGAGTGTGGAGACTACAGAACAATATCATTGATTTCACATGCAAGCAAGATTCTACTGAAGATTATCCAAAACCGACTGAAACAGTACATCAGCAGAGAACTGCCAGAAGTCCAGGCTTAGAAGGGGTCGTGATACTAGGGATATTGTAGCTGATGTTAGATGGATCTTAGCTGAAAGCAGAGAATACCAAAAGAATGTCTATCTGTGTTTCGTTGATTATGCAAAGGCATTTGACCGCATGGATCATAACAAACTATGGCTGACTCTGAGAAGAATGGAAATCCCAGAACATTTAATCGTGCTAATGCGAAACCTATACTTGGACCAAGAGGCAGTC